CCCCAAAACCCCAAAACCCCAAAACCCCAAAACCCCGGAACGAATAATTGCATGATCTATTTAAGTTTATTAAATTTTATAAATAAAAATGTAAATTTAATCTAAGGAGGATCTGTTTCATTAGCAATAGCTATATCAGAGGTCTTACAAAACTCATAATGGCTTTAAGATTCAACTACTAAATAAAAGACTAGAAAATCTTAGAAAACCCTCACCTGAACCAGAGAAAAAGCAATTGTACATTAATAAACTTAGTGACTAGTAGATATAAAAGATCTTGAATTTGACAAATATAAGACAACCTCATCTTAATAACCTCTATAATAATAATGACATCATTCACAACATAAATCCACTTGAGAATATAGACGAAAACGCTATTAATGAAAGAGATGACGTTGAATTAGGATTCAGTAATACAATTATTCAAATTCATCCAACTCTGAAGCATTCAGGAAGTCGTTACACCAAAGTCTAGAAAAATAAAATAGCCTCTCCCCCTTGCAGGTATTTATCCAATCTGAGAAACAAATAAAAACTTAGACTAAATGAAGACTCTGCTAGTATCCTAAAAACACATATTTATCAGAATAATACATCAAAGCACGCTTAAAGTAAGAGCTTTATGCCTATTAGGGAAATGCTGTAGAATATTGAAAATACTAGCAGAACCTAAGGAGAGCTCAATGAAATAATGTTGAATTAATAATCAACAGTTCTTTTATCACCAAAAGGTCAAAATGATTCGAAAGAAAAGCAATTTTCACCTAGAGAATTTTCATCTAATATCAAACTTTTATCAAAGGATAATTCTTAATCGTTTACATAATCAAGAGATGTATTGGAAAAACCAATACAATTCTATCAACGAGAGATAAAGAAAAATAGCTTAAAACCTAAGAGATACTCTTCAAACCCAAATGCAGCTAAGAAAATTAATAAAACTCTCCTATAAAACATATAATTAGATCAAGATTCAACACTCTAATCAACGGATGATCTATAGTAAAGGCAAAATAGTCTTAATTAGAATTTACCATCTATTTAGGTAAAAGAAAGATATGTAAATTTTGACTCAAATCATATGATCAAAGCCAAACTTAGGATTAAAAAATAATCTGAAAAAGAAAAGGAAATGTTAGTTGACTCTTTTATCAATGCCTCTAATTTGCCATAGGTCTCTAATACTAGGACTAATGCAATTAAATTCATCTCAAATCAGAAGTTTAAAATTCACATGCAAAATCAGCTTCAAAATCATAATTAAATTCCATAACAGTTTTAGTAAAATTAACAGTAAAAATAAGAACTTGTTCCTAAGATAAGTTAGGCTAAGAAAACTATTGTAAGATACGAAAGATTAAATGATACACAGAAGGAGTTCAACCAAAGTGTTTAAATAACAGACGACTAGTCTCAGTTTAATAATTGAGGAGTTTTAAATGAAGCAAATTTCAATATATTAAGTTAAAAGTCTAAGTTTTGAATGATTAACTTACTTCTTTCTGGAGTTAATTTGTAAATAACCTAATATTATTAATGATTAATGAAATTTTATTTCTATTAGATACTACTGAGTTAAATAAATTCTGAATTTATTTCTTCAAGGGGTTTTGGGGTTTTGGGGTTTTGGGG